CCCAAATATGTTGGTCCACTGAGGATCCATTACTCTATGCACTATATGCTCGGCATTTTTTGATATGACTGCAGTTTCTACAGTGACAGATGCTAGGCTGGAGTCACTGGTAAATTTCTACTGGATTACTGAATTCTTCTCACTGCAAATGTCTGTTTTAAACTTGTTTAAATCCAGACAGGAAACCACAGCAAAAAAAAAGAAAAAAAAAAGTCTGGCTGTTGATGTAGACCTGAACATCACTTCCTTGGTAAAAGCTCTCTCTTTTAATCTCTTTAATCTTAGTCTGTTTTTGTGTTCTGTTTCACCATCCTGTTTATGTCTATGTGCAATTATATCTGTGTGTCTGTGCATGTGTCTCTAAAAGCCTCTTTCTGTCTCATAAGTGAGTCATGGTGTGGTCTTGGTGTGGGGAATTCGTGTTCCAGTGTTTCTCCTTCTGTGGCCTTTATCCTTGGCATGCTAGTTGCCCTCAGTGTCCCTGTGCCTACAACAAGAAGAGGCCTCTGTCTGGCATTCGTCTTGGGATCTACCATGATTCTCCAAGTTTGCTCTTCTGCGTGGAAGAGCCTTTTGTCAGGGGTTTAAAATCCCTGGGTATGTATGTCTAGTGAGGAGAATCCTATGGGAACTTGCTTTGTGGGTATGTGTGTTTGTGTTGTGTCTCCAGCACTTCCTGAAAGATAATGCGGTTACCAAGCAAAATACCCAGAAGGCTTTATTACAAAATGCTTTACTTTAGCTCCACCCTCATATTTTTCCTGTCCTTTTTGAACGAGCGTGCATTGGTGATAAGTGAGCATGTGTGTGCAATTGGAAAACCACAGCTGAGAATAAGACCTGCAGTGAGCTCTGACCCAGCATCACTCATTAACTTTTCCTCTCACTGTTTTCCGGCCTTGTTTTAACATCTTAGGTAGGGATGGCTGAGCAGAGACCAGAGTTTAGAGAGGAAACAGCTTCTGTCAGCCTACTAATCAAGAGATTAGGGGCCACTGTTGGCATTCAAGCAAACTGATTTGGGGCACACACACACACATATACACACACAAACACACAGACACACACACTGAATCTGCCAGAGTGATTAAACTTGCATCCACGGCTAATTTCACCATCAAATGTCAGCCATAGCCCAGCATTGGTGCTGAAAGCCAGTGTAATTCGTTCTGCACTAATTTCCCTCACAGAAGAATGAGGGACCCCACAGATGCATTTACTGTCTGCCATAAAACTTGTCTCCATTAAGGAGTGGACTAGAGAGGAGGGCAGCATGAGAGATGGAAGGATAGATAGAAGGAGAAGAGAAGCAAAAAGAAAGGAAGAATGTAAAAATTGTCACATGAAAAAGAAAACATGGTGGAAAGGGAGGTCTTCTGATGAAGAGATTTCTTTTATTGTAAAAATAAAACATTATGCACAACATAACGACAACTACATTTTCATTTCATTTAAATTTATATTAACTTAAATTGTACCTGAAAACCCAAAACTACAACTCGCATTAGTTCGAATAACATTTACAAAGACTATAAGGGTTAGAGTTGAGTTAAATGTTATTATTTTCACAGAAATTCAGTCTACTAGGCCAGAGAATAAGTCCAGGATGTTCTTCCAAATGTTAGAGAAAGACTGATGGATATACTACATGGACCTAAAAAGGTGGAAATGTAAGTAAACCTTTTCAGTCTATTCCCCTGGTGAGAAATATTTTCAGGAAATTCAAGTGACCAGTTTTCAGGGTATTTATTTCTCTTTGATGCCTAAATTGGAGACACAGCTGGATTGAAATAATAAAATACTAGAATCTATTCACAAGCAGCTCACGAATTACTATGCCATGTGCGTTTATCTTCTGAATTTAGCATCATTCTTACCAGACGTTTAGAGAATGCTTACAATCTTCCCATCTTAGGTGTACTCCCCCAAATGAGTTAGGGTTAGATATTTTTTCTCTTAGAGAGGCACATTTTATGATACAAATGCACACAAGGAAAACTTTAACAGTGATATATACTGAACCAACCTTTTCGTAGTATTTGATCTCATAGTCAAGGATGATACCGTTGGGTCTTTCTGGCTCCTGCCAGGACAGGGAGACACTGCTTCGAGTTGTCTTCTCCTTTTTGATCACTGCTACTGGAGAGGGAGCTGGGCAGGAGACATAGACAGTCAGAGAGTGAGTTCCGTTAGTCTAAGGTTCAGTGGAAGTTCAGTCCACAGTGTTGAATCCTGGCAATTGTCTATAGTTCCTGTTAGCCTAATTCAGTTTGCTGCTTGGTGGGGTGGCATTCTAAAGCAAAGGCCCAGGGTTGTGAGTGGAACAAGACCGTGTGAAGTAATGTACAAGAAACTGCACTGGATCAACATATCGGAATTTTCTACTGGTTTTAAATTTATCAAAATGTGTATCGATATTTGTCGTTTTAAGTAAAGATTAGGACCAGTAAGATTTACATGTGTACCAAAAACAAGCAAAAGCACGATAATTTCTGCTATTTCTGATCAGAGTATAGTAGTTTGTCCTCCATCACTTATATTTAAAACACTATAAACAATTTCCTCTCTGCTGTCCTCATCCATTTTGGTTAGTCGCTTTCTCTCTTGCCAATCTTCCTCGCCAATCCTTCACCCATGCACCGCTTTGCCTCAGGGAGTTCACATGGTCCCAATCTAGTAATTCAGCACATCTCTCCTTCTATCAAGACTCGCACCCCTCTCTCGTTCTGTGTCTCTCTCCTCACTCCCTTTCTCATTTCCCTTTTTTACTGCTCTCTAATTGCCAGGCAGCTCCAGGGCCAGCTCGGCATCTGAGGCATCGACTTTTAATTTTATTAGACCACAGGAAAAAACATGTTTGTCTTTGAAATGTTCAAGCCTTTCTTGATTGTGATTATATGGCTGCAGAATGCGTCTAAGTGTGTGTGTACATTTACTCGTGTGTATTTCCGCGGGAAGTTATTTTTTCTCCTGTAATGAATCCAGATGGGGAGAATCTGTTTCTATACCCCCTGCTCCTCCTCTTCTCCTCTCCCTCTGCTTCTGATAGTGGGGTGAGGCTGTGCTTTTTATTGGCTCTGTGGTTTATGGTGGTAATGATTTACTGTGTCTGGGTTGCTTAGAGGCAGCTTCAAGTTCCTCTACTCCTCTGTTTCCTTTGCCTTGCTTCCCTTTCTATCTTCCTCGGCATGTCTACTGCTAAGCACTTAATTTGCTGTCACTCTGTTTTTTGTCTGAGGCATAACTGATACAGTATACCAGGCCTGTACTGGTGTTAAAAACTGTCCTTCTTTGTCATTCACTCATAATTTGAGGGCCATGCTGCAGATGTTGAAACAGTGACCTCTACAACACAGGCACACAGTTAGAAGTAATTATTATTGGAAACTAAATTAAACAAGATGCTATTCAATGGCAAAAATCATTGCCCAAATGAGAGAAAATATACAACTTTGCCTTTACTTTCTCATTGTTTAACAGCTATCATCACCAACCATATTATCATATCACTAGAGATATGCAACTAGATATTACTCTGCATCTGAATCACAGTTACTCTGTTCTTAGCATAGTTATGAAATAAGTGGAGGGCAAAGGAGGCGAGAGGAGGAGAACTGTCTGACAGCACCTTGACAGCACAACCAGGACACACTGCTCCTTCCAGGGAAACACTTAATCCAGCTTTTAACAGCTTTGGCATCTATACGTGTGTGCTGGTGTGTAAGTATGTGTGTTTATTCGAGGGAAAGCATATAGACGGGTGGGGCAAGTGCACTGACATACTTAATCCTTGTAAACTCTGAGGGCTGATGGAGAGTGTGCAGCTGCAGGCTGAGATATTTGTTAAAGAGAGAGGGGATTGTAAGTGTGAAAAGCCAGGACAGAGGGTGTAGTACTGAGCTGTGTATGTTGTCCTTCTCGGTGTGTAAATCTGCTTGCATCTATGTGAGCACACTGATAAATGGTAAGTAAAGATGAGTTTCATTTCATCTGATTATCACTTAGACACTAAGATGGCTTTTGATATTCTGTGCACACACAGACCTCTTAGTGTTGATAAGCCCTCTTCAAATCTAATATATATTCAGATTGCAGAGGTAATCCTACTAACTAACCACACACTTACATTATAATGCTTACTAAAAATGTGCTTATTTTTTTATTTTTTTGTCCAAATTTGTATATTTTTAATTTTGCTTTAATCTGAACTTTTGATGCATGTGCATTTAAACATACGAGCACCCAGAAAGACACTTAAAATCTACATTTAACGCTTATCCCTATTTTGTCACTTAAAAGGCACACACACAGCAGACTCTTTATATGGTATGTGATTTATATATATCAAAGCTCCTGCATTTGTAATTGTGTGTCTAGTTTAAAAGTTTCCATAAGTACAGTGTTTACTCTATGCAGTGCCTCTTTTGAGTCTCCCTCTTGGAACTCTCTGAAGCTTAAACTACATGCTGTAGTACATGCATGTTTTCTATCACAAGAAAATCAGCCTGTCACCAAGTCAGCCCAACACGACATTTCACAAAGACTGCTGCAAGTAGCAAGATCTGAATCAGTTATCCAATACAATCCAATCCTCATGGTATTTCCCGTTGAGTGTACCCACAGGTGTGAGGCTGTTTTTACAATTTTGGATCTGTTGTTATAATATTTAACATTTTACATTACTTGATTTTCATTTTTCTCCACACAGCTTTCCTGATTTACAGGCATGTGAATTCCAAGGGGACTACATTACTGATACTGATACTAAGAATAATCAGTACACCCTGTAACCTGTGAGAGAAAGCGTCTCTTTCATTCATAAAGCAGAGGCACCAAGACTCGATATTTGCATGTAACTTTTAAAACAAGCAAAAGACTTGAAGTACTAAAGGTTTCATTGCATTTTGCTTGAAGGCATCTCTACTCTGACTCTGTTTAAATTCATTGCTCTTGCCATCTGCCTATCATCATCGATGTGATGGAGTCTGACCTTGCTGTATGACAGCTTATGAGAGAAATTCGCATCTGTCTGGTCTGTAAAAAAAAAAAAAAAACACCCTTCCAGGTGCTAAATCAACCTTCAAGGTTTAGAAGAAGAGCCATACAGAAAAATAGAGGAACACAGAAAAACTGGGTGTGGGGTTGGTTTGGGACATGACAGGTAGAAGTAAAGGAGGTCGGTAGGGCGGTGGGGGGGATGTAGGGAACCACACTGCTTGAGAAAAAAATGCTGAGCTTCCAAACACAAAGGCAAAATGTGTAGGGGAACACTGAAGGAATGGCAAAAAGAAGAAAATAAGCTGATGAACTAGACTGGGACCTTTGCACATTCCTTGCTAGAGTCATGGATTTCTGAGGTTTGGCACTTTCTGCTGCAGCTAGATTTATTTTACCCTTGGAATTTCACGGCACTGCTTTCCTTTGCCGTCTTTTTCTTGTAAGAACTGGATGTGTGGAGAGATATTTGTATAAAAAGATTGATGGGAGTTTTAGGAGCCCATCCTCACGTTAAGAGAGTATGTTAAAAGGAGGAGTTATATTTTGGAAAAGGAGGAGGACATTCGATCCTGGTCGTTAAACAAGAGAATAGCGGCCTGGGATCGCCTTGTAAATGTCCAGGGTTGATGGTTGTAGTACATATGTTTGAGGTATATAAACCATAGGCTAGGGTATTATTTTATGAGAATATTCAGAAGCACAGGGGGAGGAGGAGGAGAAGCTTGTGTATGTTATCAACATGGTAGCTATTTTTTTTTATTTACACACAGTACTTGTTATTACATATATAATACACTTGCATTAAATGCACTTTTCTTCATGCATGAATCAGCCACTCCATAGTTCCCAGTCCTCAGACCAGCTAAAAATAGAGATAAGCAAAATCTTGCAACCTGCATGAGATGACCAACCTGCTTAACCTAAGATCTGCCAGAGGCTATTTTTTCTTTGTTGTTGGAGAATGGGCCTATGTTTTTACATCAGTGATCTATCTTTTTTATTGATTATACGCAGACAACTTTCAATCAATATCCAAAATGGTTCAAAAGTATTGCTGTTGTGTATAGTCAATTGTCTCAGCTCATATCTTTAGCTAGCCACCCATACATCATGACAGCTCACCCGCTTGGTTGGTGGTGATGGTGACGGCAGCGTACTGTCTCATCTTTGGTGCCAGCGATGACACACCGTTCTGTGCTTCAATCTCAAATGTGTAGTTAGTGTGGGCTAACAAGTCGCCAACCGTCACTGTGGTGTTGTGCAGTCCCATGGCTCTTGGCAGGAAGCGAACATTGCTCCGGCAAGGTTCACAGCGCTGGGTCCCACTGCTGCTGCCATTAGCAGCAACAGCACGGCAACGTTTGCAAAGGACAGTGAAGGTGATATCCCTGCGCCCTCCGGTGTCCTCAGGCCAGCTCCATTCCAGGATAACAGAAGTTTCATTGATGGAAGAGATTACGTTCCGGGGAGCTGAAGGAGGTCCTGGTAGACAGAAGGAGATGAGGTGAGATCGAGAGGCAGGTCACTGGATTTACAGAAGGACAGAACGCTTAGTAGTATAAAAAAAACACACAAAAACTGATTAGTATAGTATAAAAAGGCAGATTGAAAGGAAAGAACACAAAGAAAGGAAAATGCAGCAGCATAACAGACGAAAAGCAATATTAACATCAGTCAGTAGACTGGCATTAAACTGAATTACATTTAACAGCAAAGTCATATGCTAAGTGTAGTACACAGAACATGTAACATGAACTATAAATCTAACTATATGGTCATTTTACTTATTTGCTGTTATGTCTTTCTCTTTGAGAATTGGAGCAGGGTTGTGAAAAATCACCCATTTATAGCTGGATTTGGTGTTTATTCTTCCTTAAATTTCCCAAAGTTGTTCCTTTTTCTTTCATAAGGAAGACAATTCACAAAAAGGCATATATATATATATATATATATTTTTTTTTTTTTCACATATATATATATATATATATATATAATATATATCAATAAGATATTATATATATAATATATTTGAAATATATATATATATATATATAATTTGTGAAATATATATATATATTTCACAATGCATTATTTGCCTACTTGGACATCTTCATGGAAGAAAATTCTTACTATGAGTGCTACACAGTGAATGAGTTGTCGTAATACTAGGGTTATGTTAATGTAAATCAGTGAATCTACTACAGTATGTATGTGTTTACATCTCACTTTCAAATTCCGTAAGAAATAAGAGGAGCATGGCACAGTCGGAGCAAGTGAGTCTGACTCACTCAGACTAACATAAAATCTGTCTTATTACAAACAGATTTCCAGATACTCATATGAAAAACTATGACTAATTACATGGGGGACATAGCAAAACTGCCAAATAGCTCAGTGGGGGAAACTGAGAAGGCAGAGGAAGGAAAAAAAAGATTCAAATGGGCTTACTGGATTGTGTCTTGAGATAAAACGCTTTGTTTAGTTTGTTTTGCTGAATTTACTTCACTCCTAAACTATGCGCAGCGGCTGTCTCAGTTATCTGCATCGCAGATATTTATGTGCTTGAGCCAGAGAAATCAAAAGAAAAATACACACACGATTTGGCTGCAAAGAAGTTCTGATAACTTGGATATCTGCAAGTCTCATGAATCTAACTTTGAAAGACATGTCAAATTACATGTCAAGTTACATGATTCAAACTTTTTAACTCTAAATACAGTTGCACACAAGAAGTTTCTAAAAGTCAGTCATTTAAATATCTAAGTGGTAAAAACAGGTTTAAAACATCAGTAAAAAAAATGTACAACTAACATAACATCCACTGACCACATCAGAGTTTTGAGTCTGCATTTCAGCTTAGCTTTACCCATATGTGCATACATGTATATGCACTGCACTGCTTGTATGCACATGCATACAGGGAAGCTAAAGTAAAAGTCAAAATGATTGAACACATCTTGCACGTGAAACCAAACACAATGTGTTAAAGCTAAAGGTGCAAAACTACTGTGGAAGAAGTTTCAGTCACTTATATTTTCTTGTACTTTAACAGTTTGGATTCGTCATTGAAAATTAAATTCCTCCAAGACGTCAGTTAACTCATTTTACTTTCAGCATTGTACATTTTTGCTGTGTACTGCATGTACTGCAACTTAGAACTTCAAACTCAGAATTAACACCCATGAAAAAACTCAATACTCAAATACTCAGATCAATACTCAGAGTTATGCACAAATACAGTAACAGTGGTGCCTCTGCTTTTGAACACAAATTATTTTGTTATCCTACTAAACTAACACTGTTTATTAATGTTACAGATGCGCTGAGCTGTGCCATTAACATTATTGTTTTATTATATATATAGCCGCTAGCCAGTAAACGCCTCAGTTAAATGACAAACGTTATCATGTGCTATTTAATGCTTCCGTGATGTATAAACGGGAGCATCAGTGACCTCTCCAAATCCCTCAAAGTGTTGTTCATCGTTCTGAAGGTCAGCTACCTTACCTGCTAGCAAGGAGAGGGGCTGCGTACCTGCCTGTCTGCAACTGTGCTGTGTGATAGGGTTGTGCTGATGAGCGACGATGTCGTGGATCAACAATGATCGAAGTAAGCGCAATAGCTCATAACTCAAGGTGAATTTTATTTCATTTACCAATTGGTGCATGAAATCAATATCATTATTATAAGGTTCATAATAAACTTCAAATAGCACCTTCACATCTAAGCAATATTTGTAAGAAAGACATGTCTGGGCATGCAGGGGCGTGCAAACACAAGTTTACACCCAGAATTCTGTATGCTTTGAAGTTAATGAGCGTGGAGCAGCTACACTAATCCATCATCAGCATCAAGTGAGAGAAAACAGAAGAAGATACTTTTGACTGCTGGATGGATTTTTAAATAACCCCATTATGTGACTTTCATTTGTAGATGCTCGCTTATCTTGTTAACTTTTTTTTTCTCCACAGTGTGTATGCAGCGCATGGTGAAGACCGAAGGGAAGACAGATGAAATATTTAACACCTAAACAAACAAACAAACAAACAAAAAAAGAACTGTAGGACAGCTATACTATAGGTCTAATTTAAAAAAGTAACAAGCCAGAAAATGTGATGAATTAATACAGTTTTTGTTCAGCTGACATCTGTCTAATTATGGTCAGCTCTCACCTCTGCGCCTTTTACATGTGGGCCACACTTTGTGTGTCATGAACGGTGCTACCATAATTGTTTAGTTTAACTTCCTCTGCTGCCCTGCAGCAATGCTATCGGTCATCGGCAATGTCACGGTCATGATCATGTGCAAAGCGCCTAACCCTAATGTGTGAAGTGGTCAGCTAAAGCAGGAAAAAGTGGCCCTAATCTCTAATTATTAGTCGGTCAACATTACAATACGGTTGTGGAAAAGTCAAGTCAAGATGAACAGCAACATACTATAATTTTTTAACGTCATATGTAAGTGGTACTGTGCGACATGTGTTACATTTTAATAATAGCAATAATGCAATGATTCATACAGGGAGCGCAGAATTATTAGGCAAATGAGTATTTTGTCCACATCATCCTCTTCATGCATGTTGTCTTACTCCAAGCTGTATAGGCTCGAAAGCCTACTACCAATTGTCATCCTGGGACCTTTTTCGGTCCCTTTGCTTGTTCGTATGAACGCCATTTCCACTGTGTTGGGTGTAGCATAGCGAAACTTGCCACCGGGTTTCGTTTTTGTAAAAAATTCAAAATTTCAGTCTGATTTTCCTACAGCAGCCTAAAACGGCTTAGCAGCAAAAATACTCACACTGAACACCCTAGGGACCGTTTTGGGCCCATTGAAACCCTTTATAAACGCTATTTTTCACTGCAGAATTATGACCTTTAATATCTGGATTACGGCTTAGGTTTCGCTTTTGCTTTGGACTAGAGGCCTTGGAATTGTAATTTTTTTATTTATCCACCAGGTGGCGCCCTTGCTCCAAATTTGATCCGGGGCTCGAAAACAGCCGACAACAGCGGGCTCCTTAGAAAGGCCTGCGGGGAATGAAGCCTCATTTTCGGCGTGCAGCAGCAGCGTCGCCCGCTGATCGGGCGGGACCATTTTCGGCCACTAGGAGCGTTTAGCGGGGTAATTTTTTTCAAATCAACAGGAAATGACGTATTTGTTGTGACGTGGTACCGGAAGTGTGTGTTGGAAAAAGGGATCCGACGCAACATGCCCCGGTCATTGTCGGGAGTTAACCCGGGGAGAATGCTCTGATTCCGGCTTAAAGGAGGAGCATTTGCCGCCTGGAGACCATTTTCTGGTCCGGAAAAAAAAAATAGAAGGCGATCGAAATGAAGGTTAGTGCCAATCTTTAGTCCATCTAAAGGCCTAATTATAACAACAATCAAATATTAATTCAAATGTTGTTTTTTTTTAAATATTTCGTTTTGTTTCGGGCGGCTAAAAAAAACGGTGCGCACATGTAATTAAACTGCGATCAAAAGGGTTAAAACCCCCGAAATATAATTAAAACTTTACATGGCTAGTTCAGGGAGAAGTAGGTCTAAAAGACTGACCAATTTAAAGTGGAAAAAAAATGAATATAAATTTTTTACAGTGCACTTTTTCTGGCGTGGTCGATAATGTGCATTTTATGAAATGCGCTCCTGGAAAAAAAATAAAAGGCGATCGAAATGACTGTTGGTGCCAATCTTTAGTCCATCTAAAGGCCTAATTATAATAACAATTGAATATTACCTCAAATGTTTTTTTTGGAAAATATTCAAGTTTTTTGTTTTTTGGGGCAAAAAAAGCAGTGCGCTCATGTGACGAAACCGGGATATAAAGGGTTAAAATCCGCGAAATGTAATTAAAACTTGACATGGCTAGTTCAAGGAGAAGTAGGTCTAAAAGATTGGCTAATTTAAAGTGGAATAAAATATTAATAAATAAATTTTTTATAGCACTTTTTCGGGCGGGACCGAAAACGGTCCCCAGGGTGTTCAGCGTAAGTTTTTTTAAAGTATCGCACAATTAAGCATATTAGGTGATGTGCATCTCTGTAATGAGAAGGGGTGTGGTCTAATGACATCAACACCCTATATCAGGTGTGCATAATTATTAGGCAACGTCCTTTCCTTTGGCAAAATGGGTCAAAAGAAGGACTTGACAGGCTCAGAAAAGTCAAAAATAGTGAGATATCTTGCAGAGGGATGCAGCAGTCTCAAAATTGCAAAGCTTCTGAAGCGTGATCATCGAACAATCAAGCGTTTCATTCAAAATAGTCAACAGGGTCGCAAGAAGCGTGTGGAAAAACCAAGGCGCAAAATAACTGCCCATGAACTGAGAAAAGTCAAGCGTGCAGCTGCCAAGATGCCACTTGCCACCAGTTTGGCCATATTTCAGAGCTGCAACATCACTGGAGTGCCCAAAAGCACAAGGTGTGCAATACTCAGAGACATGGCCAAGGTAAGAAAGGCTGAAAGACGACCACCACTGAACAAGACACACAAGCTGAAACGTCAAGACTGGGCCAAGAAATATCTCAAGACTGGTTTTTCTAAGGTTTTATGGACTGATGAAATGAGAGTGAGTCTTGATGGGCCAGATGGATGGGCCCGTGGCTGGATTGGTAAAGGGCAGAGAGCTCCAGTCCGACTCAGACGCCAGCAAGGTGGAGGTGGAGTACTGGTTTGGGCTGCTATCATCAAAGATGAGCTTGTGGGGCCTTTTCGGGTTGAGGATGGAGTCAAGCTCAACTCCCAGTCCTACTGCCAGTTTCTGGAAGACACCTTCTTCAAGCAGTGGTACAGGAAGAAGTCTGCATCCTTCAAGAAAAACATGATTTTCATGCAGGACAATGCTCCATCACACGCGTCCAAGTACTCCACAGCGTGGCTGGCAAGAAAGGGTATAAAAGAAGAAAAACTAATGACATGGCCACCTTGTTCACCTGATCTGAACCCCATTGAGAACCTGTGGTCCATCATCAAATGTGAGATTTACAAGGAGGGAAAACAGTACACCTCTCTGAACAGTGTCTGGGAGGCTGTGGTTGCTGCTGCACGCAATGTTGATGGTGAACAGATCAAAACACTGACAGAATCCATGGATGGCAGGCTTTTGAGTGTCCTTGCAAAGAAAGGTGGCTATATTGGTCGCTGATTTGTTTTTGTTTTGTTTTTGAATGTCAGAAATGTATATTTGTGAATGTGGAGATGTTATATTGGTTTCACTGGTAAAAATAAATAATTGAAATGGGTATATATTTGTTTTTTGTTAAGTTGCCTAATAATTATGCACAGTAATAGTCACCTGCACACACAGATATCCCCCTAAAATAGCTAAAACTAAAAACAAACTAAAAACTACTTCCAAAAACATTCAGCTTTGATATTAATGAGTTTTTTGGGTTCATTGAGAACATGGTTGTTGTTCAATAATAAAATTATTCCTCAAAAATACAACTTGCCTAATAATTCTGCACTCCCTGTACTGAATGAAGAACAAAATAGAAACATTTTCTCCTTTTCTTCAACCTTTCCTCTGACCTTTGAAATTTTCTTGCCAACAAATTTCCAAAGTCAGCTTGAAACAACCTTTATCACACCGCTAACAGTAAAAGACCTCTCCTGAGATAATCACGATCATTATCTCCTAACAACTTATCTATTCATTTTCAGCTCTAGCGTTGCTCAGTTTGTCCCAATGAGATGAAATTTGCGTAGTTGACAAGATGATGTTGAGATAATCACAACAGGGACCTGCTGTGATTGTCGTTATAATTAGCATTCTGTCTGCGGCTGCGGGCGTTGATTTATATTTTCCACCATTCCCCACACAGTTTTTTTTTCTTCCTAGCCCCGTTAGTAACGGATGTATCAATAATCTGACATCAGGGAATGCAGTGATTTATTGGTTTAGAGAGAATGCATTTTTGAATAGTTGCAGGAGTCGTCTGCATCTGCAATCCATTTGCATGAGATGGAGGCAAACAGATTCACACAGGAAGTACAAAAGGTGGTAGAAAATGTGACCTTTTAAAAAAATGAGGGATTTTTATCTTCCTGTGTCCACTTATTCACTGTTTTCCCAGTGTGTTATCTCTGGAATTCCAATGTTGTGCTGAAGGTGTTTATTTTCATGGGCAAACATGGACGACTGCAAAACAAGTTGTTTAAAATGTCTGGAAACCTTTATATTAGTGACACAAAATACAAACTGCAACATATGAGACTCACTGACTCACTATGTGATAGCTCACCAGGAAATGTTAGTGCTATTTACACTGGGGGAAAATGCACACTTACGAGTACAGGCCATAGAAGCAGGGTCTCCCTCAGCACGGAAGTAGTTTTTCTCACAGCCACAGTGAAGAGACCCCTCATGGTGAGAGAAACTATGAGGTGGACACTTTGAGCACTCCATATTCCCGAGAGTAGATTTGTAGAAGCCTGCCCTGCACGCTGAAAACAAAAACAACACAGACAGATACATGAGCATCGTGCTGAACCAGCACATCGGCAGCTGTGTAATAGCTGCATTCTTCTTCAGAGCACCTTCAACAATTGCAAGTCAAAAAATGAAAGATTGGACATGTTTAATGCACTCTCTTTGTCTCTCACACACACACAAACACACAGACACACTGACACCAACAAAGTGCTGGAAGGAGACAGAATGTATATCTCCTGTTAATGTAACAGGAATCCATTGGCTGCTAGTAAAAACAATAATTCTCTGAAATGTCTTTGCATCTATTTCCTCCTCCCTTCAACTCTCAGAGGGCACAGCATGAATAATGCAGATTGTCCCCTCAGATAAAAGGGATGTTCTCTTTAAATATCTGTGGTATTAAATGTGCACTCAGCAGCTCTTTTAACTCCTACTCACCACTAATCTGTTGCAATCTGTGCAAGTAGGGTGACACTCTACCTGTGTAAAGTATATTGCATGTGAAAGTAGACTGTATGTGTGTCTGTTTTTCTGTGTAGGATGGAAGATCAAGAGGGGAAGATTAAAAAAAAGACTTTCCCTTGTGTTTTTTCTGTTCTTCTTCCTTTCTCTACATATTTAGTTCCACTCTACTTTATTCAGTGCTCCCCTTTTCTCCCACCACCAAAGGTTGAAACCTCTGTCAACTTATCCAGAGTTATAGTGAGATAAAAAGCATTTAGGCATACAAACTGTCTCTTTCCATGATGGTCAACTGCATTTAGAGTTCACCATCAACAGTACTGTATTTCCAAGCATGAGCGGTATCTCCACTGCCGAACCACAGTAACTGGAAATTCAAGCTCCTATAACCATTCCTCCAGTTCCTGCCACAAAAATGGCAGAAATTTTATATCTTAGAATTGGAATACTGTATGAATGTCCTATCCATCTATCCATTTTCTTAAACATATCCAAGTCAAAGTCAAAGTGATTATAAAATCAATTCAGCTAAGTGTGCATAAGCTGTCTAGATGGGATGTGCTAATATGATGTTAATATAGTACGATTTTTACTTATGGCAGCTCATAGGTGTGTCTTTATGGCATGCTTTTATGGATGGATCTCTTAGGCATGTGTTTCACCAGCTCTTTGAAGACAGATATTTATCATCTGTTTAGCGTAGTACTGCTTTTAATTCTTCATCTCTTACAGCTTATAAATTAAAAGTAAAAAAACAAGGTCTCAGAGGACAATTTCAGTTTGCAAGTCTTCTTTGTTTAGAAGTAAAAAAAGAGCATAATGTATTCCAAGACTGAGTCCATGTGCAGAAAGATCGAGGCAAGGAAGTAATCAGGTTTAAATGTTTATTTTGTGCATTTTTCACTTTTTATGAAAAAGTTTAAACCAACAGCTACTGTGTTTGTCTTTTTATGGCCATTAAGGTGTATTTGATGACCTTTTTATTTTCTGCTGGATTTATAACCAATTGCAGTTGTAATATATGCTCCTTGTAAACCCAGTGTTGTGCACATACTCAGACAAGCTTGCGCTCTCTCTCTCTCTCTCTCTCTCTCTCTCTC